TGGTAATTAAGAACAAAGTGACCGTGAAAATGATAACAATAGTGACCACCTGATGAACAAATGATCCTTGCAAGTGAAGAAACAATTCTCACCTGGGAAGATCATTTCTCCATCTGAATTTCATCTGCAGGTGAAATTCTGATGTATTTCATCAACATTGTGAATGTTGGCAATGGTATTGTAAACAATAACAGTAGTCCTGCCAGGATTTTGCCCTGAGACTCCAAAAGCCCCCCACCATAGAAAAACCAAAGGGGATGAAACAAATACTAGATTAGAAAAAATGGCATGAAATTGGAGTCATGCTCTTTCTACAAAGAAATTCCTTCCCTAAAAGTGCTCCTCTTCACCCTATTCAATCCCATGTGGCAAATCTTTCATCCTTTTTTTAAGCTTTTGTAGTCTTAGGAAAGACAGGATCTATGCCACACCATGATGCTCATTGTTGTATTTGTTCACAGCAATTAATTCCTCACTCTAGTGGTCTGTTACTTGATACAACTATACTTGTAATGAACATTCAGAGAAGACTTTGATTACGTAATCATTTTGTTTTTATTTTAAGTAGGAAAACAGTTCTGTCTTATTTCTCTGTCAAGTTTACAACCCAATTTTCATAGTGTACTATTGTTCACAGTTTGAATTACCTACTTGGCTAGCATTCCTGATATACCAGTTTGCAATTGTACATGTGAACAACACCCTTATAGTGGTATGCCCCTTAAGTATTAAGTCAGTTGGAGTAAGGAGGTCAGCGGAGATAGATCAGAGTTTCTTTTTACATAAGATTGTTCCAGTTATGTAACGTTGCAGTTTCTCTAAGCCTGTAAAGACAGGATCAGACGTAAGTTCCAGCCTTTTGTATTCAGTTTCCTTTCCTTTTCAATTTCACTTGTTTTGTGATTAACCTCAGCCCACTTTTTAATCTTGTACATTGTAATTTCCCCTTTATAGTTTTCACCGCATGTGTATGATAGTCAGATGATAGCATTAAACATTGTTGAATCAACTTGTGTTGCTGATTCTTATACAGTGGTTGACACTCCCCAAACTCCAGCGCACAACACCCTGTGTCCGCTGCATTGGGTACGCAACAATACTGACCTGATTTACTATGGCAGTCAAGGTAACTGATCACATTCTAGTAACAAACATAACTAATGTACCAGGGTAATGAAGTATTTCAACTGAGTTGAAAACATAAATTGGCCACTGTAAAGAGTTTCAAAGCTCACATTTCTAGTGTTAGCCCTTTGTCAGAGCAATTGGCAAATGGCTAACACTCGAAACATCAGCTTTGAAACTCTTTACAGTGGCCAATTTACTTATCAACTCAGTTGATAATACTAAATGACCCTGTTATACTCTCCTATTGATGCAGCACCACAGTTTCTTTCAAAACTTACCCCCTTTATTAACTAATTAATGTACCAACTCTTACTTATTGTACTTACCCCTGTTCGTAAACCAAGAACATCAAGGATCCAAACTGCCACCAAGCCAAACAATAAATAACAAAGAAGGAACACAATCGAAAGCCAGTTTATGGCATTAACACTCTCACCATAATATGAAGCTGTGTAGTCAGCCACAGGGGCAAAACTTAACCACAACTAAGTCAAGAAATAAAATCTGGTTTAATAAACTTGTTAGAGGTGGTAATCAAATTAATGACAAAAATATAGAGTGACAAGTTGCATATCTTATAAAAATATAGTCTACGTTCTCAGCTAAGCTTTTTGAAATTGCCCCTTTTCTTCCTCCACTCTAAGCCTCTATCAATGGAATGAGACATACCATTTGTGAAGATGTTACAACAGGAAAGGAGATACAGAGTTATCAATCTTATCTTAGGAGGATAAAGGGCCATAAAATTTGATGCACAGCTGAAAAAAGCTCACTTTTGGTAGTGCAACATTAAGTTTAGTGATTTGGACAAAGCGACTTGTCATCACCATTGACATGCAAGTACTAAAAGCAAGTTATCAACATGAGAATTGACTCCTTTGCCAAAATGAAGGACTATCTATCAAGTGTCTGATGTATCCTATAGTTACAAAATTAATGTTTACATAATAAATTTTTCGTAGATTTGACGTGTTAAAGATAAAGCTGATACAGATTGGAATCTTCTGCCGATGTACTACACACGAGCTAGAACGAAAGCCTGACTAAGTTTAGACTGAAATTTTTTTCTTCAGTCTAAAGCTGATACAGATTGGGATCTCCTGCCGATGAACTACACACGACCTAGAACGAAAGCCTGACTAATTTTAGACCGAAATTCTTTTCTTCAGTCTAAAACTGATTTCAGTCCTTATTTATGTTTTTGTGAAGGGAAAACTACAAGCAAGTTCTAGTTATAAGAGATCTCGATGGCTCACCATAGCATTGGAGACATTCAGTACAAATAGGACAAGGAGCATGTACCATCTTCTGCGATACAATCTGTACTTTGAGGATAACTCTCTCGATTTGGATAGCTCTAAAATCCTTTCCCCTTGAGACAAGTTTCTGGAATAAATAGTGGATCTTGAACATCCAGAGTGGAGTAGAGATGCCTTTTCGTCGTTAGGGTTCATTTCACATTGATTTAAGAGGAAGATTTCAAAGAAATCTACTTAATGCCCATCGAAATCATTTCAGTGTCACGCGACAAAGCGGAAGTTTGCAAGGCGTATCTGTCATTCGTGGACGTTGCAGCCTAAGTACGAGTCGTTCCCAGTAATACGCCACGATAACCAATATGGCGGCAACAACGAATTGTGTTGAACATTGGGGAGAACTCGATCCTCCTTTGCCAAAAACAGCCGGCCTACACGTTGAAATGACGGAGCCTAAAGCTGCAGATTACGAAATACCAAGACTGCATCAGCCATCTTCGGAACACTTCCCACCAAAAGACGAGTAAGTGAGAGAAGGTGGACTTGGTTAACAGACTTCAGTTGCTAAGCTCGGTCGATAGTTTATCGTCAATTTAAATCAGACGATTTTAACAATGAGATAGAATTTAAAGAAAAGTGTATATCTATTTGCTTTTATGACTGATCTGTTTTATTTTATTATAGATTGCCAATGAAGTTTATGGCGTCTGTCAAACCGCCACTTGATAAACACTCACAGAACCTAACACTACACTGTATTGAACTACAGCATCACAAACGACGTATGCGCCTGATGTTAATGGCAGCCCAACATCAACATGGAGAGGGAACGGTACAATGATAGACTTATTATTATTGTG